ATTTTTTTCAAATGAAGGCATCTGCCTAGGACCGGTTAGTTTATTGTTCAACTTGACCCAGTCTATTTAAGACCTCGATACGACCATTTGTTGTTGAGATATTGAACTCTATAAACCCTTTTATAAATAAGACCTCTACTTTACTCTATCTCAGCAACCAATGTTAGCACAGAATTTAAGTAAATCAGTTTTCAAAATGAAACTGTTCAGACTGTAGCAATCATCAAGAGAGAAAAGCTTTCCGGTCCAATATGTGTCATCAATTTGAAAAGAAAAAATCAACAATTCAGGAAGGTCTAGATTTGATTTAATGTATTTTTTCTCAACCCTATATTACATGGGACTCAAAATATAAATAGTGTAAAGTCGGTGTTACATTGTACAGTGGCATTACGTACCGTAATGTACACCTCCGCCTTCCCCCTTCGGAGATAAAAGGCGTGTTGTTTCTGTATTTTTTTCTAAAATAACTTTTTATAGCTTTAAATTGGTATATTTTTATTATGATGACTCAAAACCCCGAAAACTGAAACTATGAAACTCTTTTTAAAGCCTTGATAAGACCGAAGAAAAAGAAAACCGATACATTTACTGATCCTTTGGTTTATTTCCTTTAATTTATTTATGACACGCCAACAACCTACCTATAGGTACTTTCGACACACCATATTATGTGTATTATCTAAAATAAATTACGTGTATTATAGACCTTAAACTCCCATTAAAAACTTTGAACGGTTTTTAACAACTTTTTTATTGACAAAAAATATACAGTAAGTACTCTTTCATAGCTAACTTCAAAAAAACACATGCTGCTTTATAAATAACCGTCAATATGCAAGCACTATTGTAACTCATATAAACTTACGCGTGTCCATAGGTGGCGTTGATCGCGTGGTACCATCAGAGCCCTTAGTACGAGTTTCATAGGTAATGTAATGGAAACGAGTACGCGTTCGGCGCTGTGATTGGCCGGCTCCAATGAACAAACCAATCAGAGCACCGAACGCCGTCTCGTTTCGATTACTTTAAACGAAAAAGAAACTCGTACTAAGCCCTCTGATGCTACTTGTCTGTTCGTTTGCCCGTACGTTTGTTCGATTTTTCCTTGATCCCATTATTACTTAATTAACAATTATATTCGTTTATTTGTCCATCTTACTTCTAACTAATATAATAAAAGCATAAGTTTATGTTTATATATTATGTAAATACGTTTTTTGGTCTTTCACGCAAAAACTATTGAATAGATATGAATGAAATTTGGTGCAGAATATAGATTAGCGACTGGAATGAGGTAATTTTTACCACAGGAATGCGAGCGGAGTCGCTAGCAGAATATTACGTATATAAAAATATACGGGATGTTTATTTCGAAACTCCAATGAAACTTCTAGCCAGTTAAGTCCCAGTTTTAATACAAATCATATACTGTTCGCCTTCTTACGAGTACGGGCGGTGTAATATAAATATGTAAAATGAAAAATACAGTAATACATTGTAAGCTTGTCGTACTGTATCTATACATTATACTAGGTGACAACCTTCACAATAAAATGAAGACTTCAATATTTTCTTTGTTTTATTTTACCCTTTCATTCGTGAACTGACAAAAATACAGTCGAATTGAGAACCTCCTCCTTTTTTGCAGTCGGTTGATTAACATTGAATAAATCTACGAATGTGTTTGTCATTTCGTTTAAAAACAATAGGTGAATGTATGTACTACAATAAGAAATAATCTTTCTCAATATTGTATGTAACAATACCCAAAAAAAGGGAATTGGAAAACGACTTTTCATGAAAAACCATACTGGATTACTTACAATAATAAATCAAGTATTTTTGCCAACATGGACTTCTAAAATCGACTGATAATACCTATCATTTCGTTGTCATCATGATGTTAATGAGTAAATTATAGACAAACTTGTTCTTTAGCATTTTAAGAATTTAGTAGCTACCTTGAGTTACTTCAGTATATAGTATAATTCATATGAACAATGCCATCTATCGAGCATAACAGAGCTGAACATATCCTGGTACAAAATACTAATAAGTTTGTTTCCAAATATAGGAGTTTTGATAAAATTATTAAAATTATTGTAATGTTAGTATGTATTAAAATAATAACATATAAATAGATATATTTCCAAAGTCACATTCATAAGTTCCCATTGAACTCAACTCGCAACTCTGGAGTTTTCCTTTATTACAGACATCAACAACAAACACCTTCGGTAATAAATCAAAACCTTTTTACCGCTAACAGCTTTTGGTATCAACCAACAATAAAAAAATAAGCAAAGTTTGCAAGGCAGTTATCCTTTTTAGAATTTGTAGAATAGCGCCATCTATCCAGCATGGTGGTACTAAACATTTTATTATGAGTTAGTATAGTATTAGTATTAATATAAAATAGAATATAATAATATTTCTATCACTCTCAAACCCATGAATGTATATCCAGACTGTATAATCAATTACCCAAAATTGCATAAAATCTTTTATTTTCCGACTTAAATCAACAGTTAGTTATAAACTTTTCAACATAATCAGCAAACAACCTTCGAACTTTTCGACTTTCAGACTTTTTGCAACAATTAACCTTTATAATATAAAATAATATTACAAAATTCATATTTGTAGTAAATTTATTGTACAACGCCATCTATCTAGCACGGCGGTACTTACGCCACAACTAAAATTCCTATTAACTTTTGTCATGAGTTAGTTAATAAGTAATATAATACAGTATATAAAAAATATACCAATAGAAATATTACTCTCAAACTCATAATTATATCACCAGAACACTTGACTTGGAACGAATTAGTTTTGAGAGAAAAGACATTATGACCAACAAAATGACTCCATTACGGCTACCAGCAAGATGATATTGACAAAAAAGTAGCTTACTCTTTATCTTTAAATAAATCCTGACAAATTTTGATAAGGTTAGTATTATTAGTATAAATAATATAATATTTGCTTGCACAGGAATTAGACAACATCCAGATAATTTTCTACAAGACAAACATAATTAAAAAAAAAACAACTCCTGTATCCTTCCTCCGTCAAAGGACTATCCGACACAGAAAATAGAAATACCCTTTACATGGTCCACAATGACATAAGATATAGGTACATATTCATTCTAAATCAATATGTTTGTGTGTGTCAATCTGAAGAGAGTCAAGTTCAGAGAGAGGACTACTGAATATTCGCTACTCGACTAAAATACTAGCGTAGTGTGAACAAGGCATTCAAACTAGGCAAGTAGCTCAGGGCGCCAAGTTATAGAGCGTTTGCCCATCGGACCATATAGAAAAAAGACCAGCGTTCCAAATTCCAAGAAATAGGGGCGCCTATGAAATGCTTGCCGAAGCCGCTCTTTAGATTTAATTTGCATCTATATAAGAATACTATTAAACGCACATTCATAATGCCAGAACAACGTGAAACCATACCATTACCTCTTTAAATGATCGACACGACGTTCTATGAGCTGCGACATCCAGAAAAATAGTGTACCTATTTATTTGTTAAAAGAAAAAAAATATTTTTTCACAAACTGATATATTTATTAACTTATGTTATGTTACAAATAAATATAAAGAAAACACATGCTTAGGCTATGTTCTAAAACATATTCATGTTGTTTTATTAGAGGAGTTATTAAAATATAATATTTATGTGAAACAATAAAATTCATTACTTTTTCATTTTATATCGCATTTAACACAATGTTTGCGAATTATTTATGTCAACTAGCATACTCACAATTTCTTAAAAAATTAAATATAAACGGATATTATAATTGAAGATTAACATGATGATTCAAGCCTTTCTTCAAAAATGGTAGGTTGGTAGTACTGTCCTTTTCCAATAGCTTCCTAAAATGTAAGTACCTATAAAAATTAACAACAATTTCATAGGTAACATAATTATAATCGAACTTAACGTAGATATACTACACCGAAGGTACATAATCTACTTCGAAACACATTTCTATTTCATATTTATACAAAACTAAGGTAATAGAGAGAGATTTACTCTACATACACATATCAGTTGCCTATTTTTAATACTAAAGTTAAAACTATTGTAAAATAATAATAATACATTATTATGTAAGTATAAGTCAGTTATTTTACATCAAAAGTATAAAGTAATTACGTTCTACGGCTTTCTCACGTAACTGTTTGACGAGGGAACTCGACTAGTTTCAAGCCGCGCCAGGGACTCATAGTTGTTATGATCAGCATTGCGCGACTAAAAACGCAGCGAAAGTCGAGTTACATCGCAAACAGTTACATGAGTAAGCCGTAGGAGATAATTATTTTAATATGTTTCTCGAATTAAAATACAAAAAATTTATAAATGTGACAAAGGAAAATGAACTCAGATCAAAAGAGAATCACTATGAAACTCTTTATCGAACATCAGTAACGCTATAGAAATAGTGACTTACCATAGATTTAGTTTATTATTTTTTCTTCTAGTTACAACATAGTATGCAAATCTTTTTTCTCTTTACCTTCTTGCTTATTTGATCATCGCAGATGTTTAAACGGCGACGGTCTCACCTTTCGAGGAAGGTAATAACGGAGCGGTTACTCAATGATACCTTTGTAAGATTGAGCGCAATTTAAAGGAACAACTGATTTGGATTTGGATTTGGATTAAATTTTAAGCTCCATACAAAATGTATCAAAATGTTGTCTAAGAGAGACGTTAGAAGTTAGAAATGTGAAGTGTCATACGATCACGTATTTAGTTAATAGAAATGAGAGCTAACGATTCTTTTTATTCTCACCAAATGGACGTTAATGTAGCATGAATTCTTATTCCCTTAAGCCAATCGAAAACAAGAAAACACTTTTTCCAATTTCAAACAAGACCAATATCTACATAAGCGCCATCTAGTCAGGACAAAATGTTAGTTTTCATTGGAGTATGAAAGTTAATAAAGTAAAGATAAATTAATTACTAGCAATTCACACGAAGTATGCGGCAAGCTGCGCCATTTTGTCCTTGGGCTGTTTGTTGCGGTGTTTGTTCCCGCGCGCTCGTCCGCCTCGCCCGCGAGACACGGGAGCGCGAGACGCTACGGCACGATGTTTCTCCACCTGTAAACAAACATAGGTATACATTGAAACTATAAAATATATTATTATTGGAGATTTGATTACTGGAGAATTTAGAAGGGGTAGAATAGGGCCCATTGGTGATATGAAGATATGAGTTTGGGATGGGGTGATTGGGGATGGAGAGGGATTGAGTATAGTTTCTTTTTTGTATCCTAGAATGTAAGTATTTTGGCTCTTGCTGTAAACTTTCATTTTAATGTAAATAAATAAATAAATAGAAGTTGATTGTGGAAGGAGGGGTTTGGGGATAGAGGGGGGTTGGGAAAGGAGGGGGTTGGGGATAGCAGTTGACTGTGGAAGGAGGAGTTTGGGGATAGAGGGGGATTGGGGATGGAGGGGTTTGGGGAACGAGGGGATTGGGATGGAGGGGGATTAGGGAAGGAGGGGATTGAGAATAGAGGTTGAAGATTAATTGTATGAAGGTTTGTTCAGGATGGAGGGGGATTGGAGATGGAGAGGGATGGGGGATGAGAGGTGTTAGTGAAATAAATGGTAAAATGGAGTACGTACAAGTGCGCTGAAGGTGGGCTCGCAGTAGAGACAGGCCGTCATCTCGGTGATGGCGGCGGGCAGGCGCGTGCGCTCGGCGCGGTACTCCACCGTCACCTGCTGCGCGCCGCACGCCGCGCACGCCTGCTCGCACACCGACACGCGCGTCGCGTCCTCGAACACGTTTATTATCACGTCGCAACTGGAAGTTTTATCAATTCTTCAACCCCTGCTATGCGTATACGCGAGACATAATGTATTTTTATTGCATCTCATACACCCGAGTCATGAGGTGTTTGCTTGTTTTGACAGCAGGTTACATTTACAATTCCTATGATATTGGTGTCACAATTTGTAGGTAGAATACTTTTAACTCTAACTGTTAACTAACTTACTATCAACTACTGTTTATTAACTTTAACTCTTGACTTTTAACTCCGCTAACCATGTAATAATATGCCGTGCATAAGACACTTGATGGGTTAAAGTAAAATCCTTACTAATATTATAAATCGGAAAGTGAGTTTGTTTGTTTGTTCCGCTTTCACGCCGTAACTACTAAACCAATTGCTTTGAATTTTAGCAGACGTAAAGTTAGAAGTCCGGATTAAATAATAGGGTACTTTTTACACCGGAAAAATTTGATATTCCCGAGGGAAAACAAAAGTATTGTTATAGATGGCACTGTGTATATCATTATATGTCACATAGGCTACTTTTTATCCTTTTGTGACGCGAGCAAAGCCGCGGGTAAAAGCTAGTAATGTATAATCGACGTACCGGTTACAAGCTAGTTTCCACTTGGGCGCCGAGGGGTCCAGTACTAACACTCCAGACTCGCACTCGACACAGCCGGACACTCCCGTGGAGTTGACGCCGTAAGGACACGTCGGGTGCGTGCACGAATTACAACCGAAACCTTTCTTCATGTCCCTAGGAACAAATGGCACATAGAACATTGTAGGAATTATTAAAGTAATATATTTGTAGATAAATGTAAGACGTCGGAAAAATATTTCGTGTGTCATTCAGGGTCAAATTACACTAAGATGAAGCGTACTAAAACCAAAATCAAACTATTAACATTGCAAATTCAACCACATCTCCACAACATAATGCTCACATTACTTTCAAGAGATTTAAAAAGACACAGGTGGATCTGCTAGACAACGTGCGTTTACGCGCGCATACTAATGTCGCGCACGTTAGTATGCGCACTTGGATACATTTTCTTTTCGACGCGCTTTGATTTTGCACCGTATACTTAATTAAAAAAACACTAGGATTTACTCCTGTGTCGTGGGTGCGTTTAAAAACATAGCAGTACATACACATGACACCCACACCCGGAAAAACAATCTGTGGATCACACAGAGTTGTTCCTTGCGGGAATCGAACCCGGGACACGTTACGCGACAGCCAGTTGCCCAACCACCGCGCCAACTGTGCAGCCCAAATTGACTCATCATCATCATCATCTACTATAATTTTTTTTATAATATCGCAACTTTCAAGGACCGTGCGCCACGCGAAGGAAATGTTCAATATTTCACACTGGCGAAACCATAAACAGAGGCTTTGTTGGGGCCAGTGTTCGCGTTCGGAGCTCTGATTGGCCGGCACCAATGAACCAAGCAATCAGAGAAATCGAATAAATGTTTTATAAACTTACCTGAACGGTGGATGGTTGTAGCAGTACGGGCAGAGAGGGAAGCTCTTGCCCTTGTTGCCTGTAGACCAAGAGAGTAGCTCGAAGTCATCGAGAGGACATTTCAGTTCCCGATAGATACGGACTGTACCATTCTGAGGCAAGCCGTACGTGTCGTCGCAGTGAGAACAATGAAGACGGGCTGGTTTTGCCTAAACACGGAATAAAGCATTTCTTGAGTGTAAGAGAACATAAAGCCTTTATTCGACATTTTGTAGTATATTGTAAAGGTCGACTTCGAGTCGACTTCATGTGTGGAAATGAATTTTTGTCACAAAATGCTCATAAAGATAAAAACTGCGGTGCTCTAGCGCTAAAACAAATAAGCTATCTAGATATGAATTATAAAAAAATGTGAGTAGTTTAATTTTGTAGTTAACGGTTTTCTCGTAAAATGCACAAAAATGCGAGATATTGTAAAAAGAACTATTTTTGGCAGCCATTTTTCCAAGATGGCGGCGCGAGCGGCGCACGTACAAAGGTGCAAAATGTAAATCGAGCTCATGAAAATCTACGAAATTGCCGATTATCAAAACCGGAAAACTTTCCAGGTAACCCCCATATTTCCCTCCTGAATGATCGGACTATACGTAAAAAATTCTCACCTGAATATATCTCATGTACCGCCTACACTTGCCGCATCTTGACAACGCCTTACCACTAGTCTTGAGCGACGAGAAGTTGACCTCAAACAACTGATCCATGGCCTCGATAGACCTCACAAAGTACTGGAACTTTCTACGGAATATTTCCGTAGTATGATTTAGTACTGCGTGGAAATCCGCCCGACCGACTGCTATGAGATTCAACTGCTCTTCCAAAGCCGATCGCATTGTTGGTAGAACAAGTTCAGGGTCGATCTAAAACAATATTAGGGTTTTAATTGAGTAGTTGACAGGGTAAGAAAATTAAAAATCTAATTAGTCAGTTAGGTAATGAAAAAATATTAGACACATATTTTTTATTCTGTTGTATAAAAAACATATTATTATCTATATAAGAAAGAAAGAAAGTAAAAAAGAAAGAAAAATCATTTATTCAGCACCATTATAACGAATCAAAGTTTAGGATCACCATATAACGAATCAAAGTTTAGGAATGGGGGCTAAAACGTCATTTCTACGTATAAAATGTACATAAAAGTGACGTCACGCGACATTTCAAATCAATATATCAATATATCGATATATATCTTAAAATAATCTACCAGACGGACATTAAAATAAAAATTAGTCATCTACCCTATTATATTATAGACTTATATAGAGCATAACATTTAATGCTGAATGCAATTCTTCATTGCCTTTATTTCATTTCGTCTTGCATGAGAAGTTCGAGTTTGTTTTACCTTAACACGATCGACACGTTAATGACGTTTGGCGCTCTGATTGGCTGCTCCAATTTAACCAACCAATCAGAGGGACCACGTTCATATATCTGGTCATACAATAAAATATCAAAAGGTACTCACTTTCTGATATCCATGTACGAGCACAATACCCAAGTTAGTGGGTATAAGTTTCCGTCCACTTCCGACGGTGACGTAGTTGCGTTGACAAATATTGTTTATATGCACGGGGATTGACGCGTCAGTACCAATACCATGCTTTTCCATAAGCGTGATTACCTGTAGCAAAAATATTTTTTTTGTGTTATAACTATCGGAAGATACTGAAGAAGAGTCCCGGTATGACCTGAGATTGGTAGAGCTTTTCTCGAACAGTTCACGTGTTTAAGTTAATTGACCTACTTTAATGTTTAAATTTAAGGAATGTAGAAACAAGACATCATGACCCATTTTCAAAAAAAAAGGATAGAAATGCGTTTTCTTAGTAATTAGTAAAAAAAACAGTGTTTTTGGTTGGTTTACCCACTTTTTGTTAGTGTATTAGAAAAAGAGAAGCAACCGGAATTACTCTAAAATTAACCAATAAAATAATTATATCTTTAGCACATTAACTTAAAAATGTTGTTTAATTTCTATTACTTTTTTATGGGGTAAACGAGCAGACGGATTTGCTTATGGTAAGCAGTCAGCGTCGTCCATGGACACCTGGAACGCCAGAGGCGCAACAAGTGCGTTACCGGCCTTTTGAGGATTGTTGGGGATTCAGGGATTGGAGAAATTGGGGAAGAATTGGGGGTAACTCCGGTCGAGTCGGCTCGTTGGTGCCGTAGCATAACTCTCCCACAATTAATTAATTAAACTTATACATGTACTTTACCTCAGATTCAGTGAGATAGTCGGGAGGTGACGTTTGGCACTCCACCAATCTATGATCGTGGGCTCGCAGTACATCATCCACGTTCAGTAACGGCACAAACTCATCTTTACCGAATGCCTGGAACAAATAGTAAAGAAGCAATGATCGATTGTTTATATCGGTACCCGATACAGAGGGCCAAGCACGAATAACTATCGCATTCGTATCGTAACAGTATCGGGCGAGTTAAGCGTTCTGATTGGTTGGTTCACTTGAGCCGGCCAATCAGAGCGCCAAATGCGCTCGATACTATTACGTTACGAATGCGATAGTTATTCGTGCTTGGCACTCTGATAACGAATTAATTTTCGAAAACAGAAAATTATTAATAACTAGCATCAGCAACTTCGCCTGCGTGCCCGTGGGATAAAAAGCAACCTATGTGTTATTCCACCATGATAATCCTGTCCCAAATTCCATCTAGTGAGCTTTTTTTAAGGGGAAAAATCATCGAATGATGACGACGAAAAATCATCGAATGACTCTCCTCGCCTCTACGCCTCTCCCAGTCGGGAGAAGCGTGAAGGCGAGGAGAGTCAGATTCTTACTATACTCGGAATTTTAATTCGATTCCAGATTTGACAATTTCAGTGTTGTCACGTTATGACAAGTACTAAATAGTGACGTTGCGAAATTATTCGATATGGAAATGAAATATTTCTGGATCGATTCTTCTCGTTTATAATTTTACTTTGGTAAACTAAGTTTATCAGGAAATTAAATATTTCTGATCGATAATTTAGTTTTGACGGTTAATTAACGATCTGAGACTCTTCTTTTATAATTGTGTGTGAAATAAATAAAAAAATGTAACCATGAAAGAACATGACAAATAAAACAGAAAGATGTATTATGGTAATAAGTAATTTTATACATTGTCGCCGTCATCGCTATCGCTATCGCTGTCACTTTCTGTAACATTTATTATAAAACACACACACTGATTGTTTATCGATTTTTGTGTTCATCACTAGACTATTATATGTGGTATCATTATTTCACAAAATGACAGTAGCCAATGTCAAATCTGGAATCTAATTAAAATTCTGACTATAAAAACCTATTCCTGCACTTCGAGCCGGAGCTCTGGTTACCCTTTTACGTTCGCCGCGGCTCCGTATCGATCCAGAGGATCGGCTTCAATGAACCAACCAATCAGAGCGCCGAACGCGGTCTCGTTTAGATTATTTTAAACATAAAAGAAACTCATACTGAGACCTCAGATCGTTTCAGCCGTTTTGCCGCGATTGAGTAACAAACATACACAAACTCACTCACAAGCTTACGTATTAATAATATTACATAACATCACGCCTTTTATCCCAGAAGGGATAGGCAGAGGTGTACATTATGCCACTGTACAATGTAACACCCACTTTTCACTATTTATGTTATGAGTCCCATGTAATAGGGGGTGAGCCTATTGCCATATACCGGGCACAATTTCAGACTCCTTGCTACTACTGAGAATATTTAAAACCCAGTAATACTTTACCCGACCCGGGAATCGAACCCGAGACCCCTTGCCCGGCAGTCGCACTTACGACCACTCGGCCAACGAGGCAAAGCAGCATTAATAATATTAGTAAGATCCTATACCTGCCAATGCATAATCTCAGTGTACCCAGCATCGACGAGTGTGTTCCCAGTGTACTTGAACGTCTCCGATCCAATCTGGAAGGTGATGACAGTAGACAAGTACTTGCAGTCGCGGGACAACGTGGCTATGAAGTGACGAGTCACATAGTCGTAGATACGCCAAGCATCACCCTCTAAGTCTGACTCCACTGAAAATGGAACACTATTATCATAATTTGTAAGAGAACGCAACAACAAATCCAGTACCAGCAGTGATGAAGATAAAGCTCAGTGGCGTGCTATTTGAAAGACTTATATCCCAGTGGCGTGCAGTCCATATAGGCAAAAAGGCTTTGCCTACCTTATAAATATCGTGAATAAATAACATACATAAAATGTACAAATGCGTTTATTAAGATTCAATAATATAATAAAATAATTGAATAAATAATTGATACACACCTGTCTTGTGTCAGTATGATAGTATGACCGGGGGGGAGGGGTTTAATCATACGGTATTTAGTTACCTACCCTGTCTCGAAAACCTGTGCACGCCATTGTTATATCCATTGTCCAGCAGTAAATTCTAACCAATTGTTGGTGAACCAAATGAATAAAATAAGACTGGGCAATAGACGGAAACAGGTTGATGATGATGATAAATTACTTACCAGCCGGCCTCATAGGTGTGATGGGAGGATGGTCGCCAGCATCGTGACCTTTCTTCGGCCTATTGATACCATTAGCAATAATGGCCCTCACTTCTGCCCCCCACTTGTTCGAATTCTGTTGCTGACGAAGTGTACCCCTTGAAAATTTACAAAATCTATAACCGCCGTACTCAGAAACATTTAATGATTACTTAACCCGATCTTTAGCCACTGTTTTCGGAACAAAATTGTTACTAAAGAATAGTTTAAGTAATCATTAAAAAGTCTGTGAGTAAGGCAGTAAGTGTATTTACAGTCACAAAAAAATATTAACATCTTATCTTATACTTATTAGCTCAAGAGTTAGTTCGTTAGCGCGATCGCTCGTGCGCTCGCCCGTACGTTCGTGCGTGCGTTCGTCGTCGTTCGTTCGTTCATTCGTTCGTTCGTTCGTTCGTTCATTGGTTCGTTTACAGTAATATTACTGTTCAGAGTGCCAAGCACGAATAACTATCGCATTCGTAACGTAATAGTATCGAGCGCGTTCGGCGCTCTGATTGGCCGGCTCAAGTGAACCAACCAATATGGGTACTTACTCTTGAAGTCAATCATCACAATGTCAATGCATAAATAAATAAATAAATGCAATTTCAATCCAATAAAATCTCAATAATTATTCAATGTCAAAGCTATACAACCCCTATCATAGCTATTCAATTAGAATTCAGAGTACGGAATATAAAGCCAAACTCAATACCATTTAGTTCATTAAACATCCACGCAATACGGATGCAATGGGCGCTAGTGTTGCAACTCAAGAGTACGAAATTTCACAATACCAATGTCGATCGATCGGAATTGGATTCAAGAGTAAGCCCCCAGAACGCTTAACTCGCTCGATACTGTTACGATACAAATGCGATAGTTATTCGTGCTTGGCCCGCAGATTTACATTTCGACTTGTGATGGCGGTAAAGTTAATAGATAGATTTAGACTTTAGATTTGTTCAAAGGAAGAGTAAAAATCTCTCGAAAAATAAGAAGTGTAATATTATGTAACTTACATTAAATCATAGTTCTCTGGATAGCTGGTGGTTTCAGTACGGGGATACGAAATGTAACCCTGTGTGTACAGTCTTTCTGCAATCTGTAGGACAATGATAAACATAGGTATTATTTCTTCGGGAGGTGGGTGTTGTAACTATTTTCATTACAGATGTCTATATCATTACCTACTATACAAATAATGACGCAATCTTTGTGTTTTTACTTTCGCCTATCAAAAAATCACCCACTTTCTAACAGACTAAAACGTTTTTATATATTGTTGCCAATAAAAATAACGTATGTTTTGTGAGGGTAAAGTATCGAATTCGATTTACAACACCTTGTGAATTCTAATTTCTGGACATAGATAAATATGCGGTAGACATTGACCTTAACTCGTTCTAACAAGGTACATAATAGTTTGCATTTTTTAATTGGTTAGTGTAATGAATTCCTGCACGCTACTCTTTCGTAGAACCGCACTGCAACCATTAAACGTAATTACGTCCAATAAAATTCATGTCTAGTTTCTAATACGATTTGTTCAATTCAGAAGTTGATGCAAAAAGAAAATCGTTCTAATATTACAAACTACCAGAAATGGCATCGTTTATGTCCATAGTTGCCTATATTGTTGCGGCGACGTCCATTGTATGGGTATATGCTCATCACTTAGAACATGACTTACTTATAACAACTGCCAAAAACTGGGTAATATTGGAAATAATAATTTTTAGTAAGCATGTTTTGACTACTTTGACGTTGACTCTCTGCCTAATTCATGAAATAATAAAAGGCGTAATGAAAATCATTATCACGGCTGTCTTAGACTACGCTGTGGCACTTAAGCACACAATAATTCGGGGCCGTCGTAAAAATTGTCAATTGTCAGTGCTTCAGAGCCCCCTGGGTACGGGCCCCGAGTGCCCTTATGGTGAAGATGGTGCTGATAATTGTTATTCTAAATAAGAGACAGACATATTCTTAAAATATTGTTAACTAACACTTGTGTCAAAAGTGGATACAATGATAATTTTCAGAAGTTCCACAAACCTGCATGGCATGATGCGGTCCCATACCGAGTCCTGCACTGGCCACTCGCATCAGTTCCACTGTATTGAGGGCCACAGGACGAGGTTTTACTTTTTCCTTAGCCTGAATGTTCACCACACTGTCGAAAATTTAATAATTCTATTAATTAATTTTGGTTGGTCAATTTAAGAGACTACGAAATCCAACTTAAATTATTTATTTCAATTTAAAAAAAAAATATTTTAATTAAAATGTGTATTACAAAGTATTTTCTAAAAAGAAAACAATCTAAACTGAAGTCAAACAGTTACAAAGTTTTATAAGAAATATAAATAAAATTCAATTTACCCTACATCATATACATATCATACATTTTCATATACCATTTCTAAGAATTATTTATCTAGACAATAACATTAACCCCTCGAGCGACCTTATGAGCACCCGGTGGATCATAAGAAAAATGCTCCATGCTGCTTTCTCTTTTATAAAATCTGTTATTAATGTTTTGTTTTTATTTTGACTGTATTTTTTATTTCTATTGTAATGATCCTTGTTTTCGTGTGTCAATGGCCAAATAAATGCATTTTCTTTCTTTCTTTCTCCAAATGTCACGTGTGCACCCGTTGGATCATAAGGAATGCGGACGCTCGACAGGTTAACAAAGTGCTTAAGTTAATACAATAACCTGATACTTACACAGCTTCCTTTATTTCCTTGATACCAGCAAGGAACATATTAGCTATATCTTTCTCAAAACTCCGAACCCTTTTCCATTCCAATGGTAACTCCCTGCCTTCCGAAGTACTAGCAGTGACGCGTAACACCCAATATGTTTCTGGTTTAAAAGTCTGGATTTCATCATGCCGTTGTACACAAAAACCCAATGTTGGAGTTTGACATGGTCCATACGATATAAGTGACGCATCTAAGTCACCGTATCTTCCTGAAATTATATATTTTATACATTTCAGGACAAGTAGTTGAAAGAAAATATCACCAATATCCAAATGGAATAATTCAGTAAGTTTAATTTTTTTATTTTTGAATACCTACCCTCTTTTTTGCAAAATAAATTATTCCTAATTTCTGCTCTGTTTCATTAGTTAAAACAGTTTTATTAACTCACCTTGAAAATATTTAGTCTGGAATCTTGTGAAAGCACAACCGATACGTAGATCTAGTTCTTGTCTTGCGTCAACACTCCGGGACTCATTCTCATTAGGCCTGCCAAGGTTTAACATGGCTGCTTTGATGTCTTTGTCTGTGATGGCTGAGAACTTTGCACGGTATGTCACTAGAGGTGAACAAACATCACCCTTCAAGTAAGCCTGCACACAACTCATTACCTATGGACAACGAAACTGTTAAGTCACCCACACTCGTTTAAGATTTTTTGAAAATTCATTTTTATTTCTTTTATTAAAATGGTATTATCAATTTACATAGTACAGGTTAGGCAGAGACTGTGAAATATCAATTGCTATGATCGTTATATGCCTCCTTCACTTACTTATTAGTTTAAAATTAATAATTCTGATAGGAACACATGGCATAACAATATTAAATTATTATTTTAAATTTTTGTTATATGTTATCACTGGTAGGTAATTTCAATTGCAACAAGTAAAACTACATATGCAAAAAATCAAATACCTGCAAAAGGATTTGTTTTTATGCTTGAAATTATCAGGTAACCTTTCTATTTAATTATAATTATCGAAAGACAGAAAAGTATTCATAACTTACTTCGAAACAAATATTTTCTCCTTCTTTATCACAATCCAGCCACAAAATCAGGTAGTCACAAGATTTAGATTCCTGGGCCAACAATGCTGGTATTCTTAGTCTAGGCATTGCTTCTTTTTTCTCCGTCGGGCAACTAAACAACTCGACCGGGTCCACTTTATCCCAATTATTATATTTGCCGGTGAAATCCAGACTCATAACGTGACCACATACGGAAGTCATTTTGAACCGAACTTGCTCATTTTTAAACGTTCCGTGCCATTCGTGTATGTTACAAGCGTTGTTCGATGCTGTAAAAATGAGAAATTATTTTTATATTTTCAATAAAAATGGGTAATTCAAACTTGGTTATGCCACAAACCTTTTGTCGTACTGCATTTGCCATTGCTGAGTATATTAGCCACATTCTGTGCTAACGATGGCTTTTCAGCCACCATTAACGCAGTCTTCATGATTTCTGCTTCTTATTCGAAGATTGATTGAGCATGAAAACCGGGTAGAACCCACAATTTATTGACTATTGATTCTCAAATTCGAAATTCCAATAATTCCATGTATGAAGCAAGCAAATCCAATACAAGTGTGAAATTTATTTCGTTCGATGTCATGTCATGTCAAAGTTGTCAATGTCTTGTTAGGGCTACCCTACCCACAAAAAATAAAATATAGAGCATGAAAAACCTAAAGTATTCACCACAATAATTTAAAAGTAAAAGGTGCGACAGCAATGAGAAAAGTTTTAAAATTTGCAGTAGAATTTGCAGTTTTACAAATGTTAATTATAGTAAAGAAAGTCGATTGTAATTTTATTTGGATGATCCATTGTTTTTAGCAATAGAAACACCATAGTATTGACTTTTATAGTGCGCGTTCGAATACTTAATAGCTTCCAAAAGGTGAACGTATTATTTTTGTATGTTTAAATTAGTTTTCCTAGTTCCATATTTATATAATAATTCAATATTAACTACAAATTTTGTAACAATAATATTTATGAAGAAACTTAATTTTCATTATTTGATAATGAAACATATTTATAATTTCTGACAATACTAACATCATTAGTAGTATTGAGAGTTCGAAGCTAAGTTTCTGAACTTCGATTATAAACGTCATTCAAGTGAATGAAGAGAGGTGCGCCTGCTCTAACTTGCAGTGATAAATTGTCGGAAAAACCTTGGACGATGCGAAGATCATTATTATATTGTGTCTGAATTGCAATATAGTATCTGTACACGCGTTTTCGTGAAAATAGTGAACAATTTAATCGTGACAATTCTAAACAGTGGACATGGTATTTACTTGTGACATTAATGTTTTTTTCTCCAATTGTTTATTTATGTAACTACTTGCGTAGAATATGTGATATGTGAAAGTCGTTATAATGTTGCAGAGCCACCCTCGAAGTGATGTCAACATATGCACGGCGGCGCAGCTGAGAGTGATGTTGCCGACGTCAGTGGAACATAGTATGCCTCCACCGTTTATCGATATAAGTGAGTAATTAATTGCAACGACACACGCACTGTTCATTTACATAGTGTACGCGATACGCGATAACAATATGGTTCTGTAATATTTACCTGTAGCTGTATTGACATGCACCTCATAAGGTTTATAAATATTGACTCTGTTTGAATTGCAAGCAAGAATTTATCAATTTCAAGAATTAGAATGTATCAATTGAATCATCAAATAGTAATATTTTCACGACGACAAAACATTGAAAAATTAATGTGTTTTTATCATGCAATTTATTTATCAGTGTACAATATCTATTAATTACATCACATGTAACTTATTATTCAAGCTTGTATTATTATCATTGAATTACTGTACTGTACTTGGATTATAATACAAGTACAGTCTGAATCAATAACTAAGTGACATTGCCTGAACCATGACATCACCTTGAAATTTTATTTCACAGGGAAAGTAATAAGGTTTATTTTGTTTTGTAGATAATATTCATGATATACCACCTCCTCAAGCGGATTTCTCAGCACCACCCCCTTATGATGTGGCTGCAAACTCCAAACTCCCTACATATGAGGAAGTTCAGAGGGAAAAACAGATGGAGGGGGAAGACCTGCCACAGGTAAATAAAACCCACTTTTAATCATGCTATCCTTTTCTTACTAAGGCACACAGTGGGAACAGGTATACTTTTTACAAAGAAATAGCATAAAACATTTTATTTTTTGACTGTAAGAGGTAGCACACTATAATTTGACCACAACTTTTATCCTCAATCATTGGCTTTATTACTGCAGTGTATGGCTATGAAATGTGTCATAGATGATATTGTTTCCTTAGTAATGAGTCACTGCTATCATTCTTTTCAATATAGAATAGATGATTTTTGTAAACATCATGAAATTACACCTTTTTAGCTATTGTAAAAGAATACATGCATACCTAATTATGTACAATTTTCCCTAGTTATGTAATTTACTCTATTGTTTTGACTGACCTATTGATTATGTAGCTGCAAGGAGCGCCTACCTAGCAATGAGTCTCGTGTCAAGCTGAATACTACATGTAGAACTTTTTTCCATTTGTCCAAAATTCCTCAATAGCAGTATAGAGAGTATAACTAGTCTTAAACTGTGTATCTTGCTTTGAACTCATAACATAACTCTCGAAAGTGGCTGTTAACAATTTATAAAATGCACCTCTACCTACCCCCACGACAATTTAAAGGTGTCAAATGATATTATACTAACTATAAAGGCTGTTTTGTATACTACTTTTGTAGATTCATTGCGAATTACAAATCAAAAAACCCAGTAGCAGTATGCTAACTCATTTATTTATGTTTTTTCCCTGTATATGAAGATAAGTAACTAAAGTACGAATGCACTGTGTTATTATCTAATCTTTTAACTTGGATTATTGTGTAATCTGTATTATTATCTTATCTTTCATAATAAAAATACACATTATATATCTTTATCTGTACACATAGGTACAATTGATAGCTATAGATTATGAGCTCAATGAACTATTCATAATTTTTAAATTTATGAATCACCACATAAAAAGATTTAGTTGTTTGTAACGGGTTTTTATCATAAGTACATGGAACACTTACCATTGATAAGTACATCATATCAATGTGGGTTTGCGTAGGTAAACCTATTTAAACATTTGCAAATGTTTGAAATGATAATATTTGTTCAGATTACTTAGACAATAGTCTGTAAAATGATAATAATGATATTCTAGGAGAGTGTTATTCATAATTATATAATTAATTTGGTAAACTGCAGTATTTTTATTGAGTTTATTTTTTTGTTTTAGCTGTTAGCAGTTTACTTAATCGTAAAGTAATTACTACTTAGAGTATGACAGTGGTATAATAGTTAGCAAATTAAATATAAATACATAATAATATGTGTATGTGAATTTGTATGTTTGTAAACACACCACGATACAGGAGAAAATTTTAGTGTGGAGCAAAGTTTAAGAAGAAAAAAGAAATGTTCTTAGGTTATAATATTTAATGCCTGGTTAAGAAACCAGGAGCAAGTATTAGCACTTGCCAAGAGTACGATATTAAACGTTAAACCAATTAGTATTAATTACAAAAATGCCCGAAATAAAGTAAGTCACTATTACCAAAATACTCAAACATCACCCAATTTTAAGACGCGCTTAAGTATGGTTAATGGCACTATATTTAATTACAACTAACATTGATTAGCCTTTCAGTATTCGGGCGTAAAATACTTAACAAATTAATTGCAACGCCAAATTATTATAAATGAGTATCACCATAATGATATTACTAATGACAAATGTTCTTTGTTATCGTATGGTAATGCATACTTTTACTGTAAAAACACATGTCTACTTGACTACTTTAATTCCCACTGCCTATTCAATGGTAGTATGGAGTCACTATGCAATTGGCCATAGCATTGTCCCTTATATTCTAGTCACTCTACTGTTACATTTAGGGTCTATTTCACGTTTGATTATGGTTCTTTTAGTCTAACCTAACACTTATAACTTATCATATTTTTATTACACTGGTCCTTAAAATGAGGTATGGTTGTCTTTTCACATAGTATAAAGGAAGGACAAAAAAAGGTTTGAAAAAAAAGCGATAGTCTCTTGAAACAACGACTGTATCACCTGGTTACTATAGACTTGCACACAGAACATAAACACATTGACACGAAGGGAAGGATATCTGTCATTTTCTTAATCTGGTAAGGTAACCCATTACACACGCACACATAAATAACCAACTAACATTTTGGTGCCTCAATAATTTCTAAGTGACATTAACGTCCGAATACTGAAAGGATACTCAATTTTATGTTGTACTTAAGCGCGGCTAAAATTTAGTGGACTTTCAGTATTCGGGCGTTAATGAAGTCATTGGTATAAAGATGTTTGTAAACAAATAGCTTTCAGTTTTATTTATTTATTTATTTATTTAGGGTCAGCCAACGACTGTTTACACATCATATTACAACATATCGGTTTACAATATGCATTGGCTAGTGTAACAATCAATTAAAGGCTAACAGGCGAGAATAGTTTAATAACTATTCTCTTGAGCATGATGTTGAGCCTATATTTAAATTATTTAACATGAATACAAATTTCCCATAAACCAAAACCTATTTAAGGTGAACAGACAGAAGTTTTGAACATTATACACAGGTACTAAACTGCAAGATAATATCGTCTATATTTATTTTATTTAGATGCAAGGCCCCCCTCCAAACCACCCGACTTTTGCGGCCTTCGTAACGGTGGAACCGACCGAGGGTTCAGCTGAACAACTGGATCCCGAGAACAGTCTACTTGGCACAGACATCATGTTCTTAACATCATTTTTTGGTGAGTTACTTGTTTGTTTTTTATACTGTTACCAAGTAATAGTACAGCCCATCTGATGGTAAGCAGTTACCGTTACCTAAGTACACTTTAATACCAGGGACCAAGGGTTTTTAAATTGTATCGTACAGAGTTCCAGATCTCATTGATAATGTTATGCAACCGTCTGCTTTGTAACGTGTCCTGAGACTCGGTGAGTTCGATACCCGTATGGAACAAATCATTGTTATCTTTTATCTGCAAATAGTTGTTCCGAGTCAGCATTGTTATAGCGAGTTTATAAATGCACCCATGATACGGGAAAAATCCTAGAGTATGGTCAGGCTTTCTACTAATAATCCTACCCTACCTATCCATGTACTTTGTTTTTATATATCTAATAATATGTGTTGTCCTTTGTATTGAATGTGTCTCCATGAACTGACTGCCTCGTTGGCCGAGTGGTCGCAAGTGCGACTGCCAGGCAAGGGGTCTCGGGTTCGATTCCCGGGTCGGGCAAAGTATTACTGGGTTTAAAAAAAACTCAGTAGTGTAAATGTGCCCGGCATATGGCAATAGGCCTACCCCCTATTACATGGGTGGGACCGTGGGACTCATAACATAAATAGTGAAAAGTGAGTATTACATTGTACAGTGGCATTAAGTGCCGTAATGTGCACCTCTGCCCCTTTGGGGATAAAAATCGTGATGTTATGTTACTATTATAAATAATATTATGGTCTGGAATAGCACATAGACTACTTTTCATCCCACGAGAATTCGGGCGAAACCGATGGCAGAAGCTAGTTTAAAAATGAAAAGAAAAACATCTTTGTAAATTTCCAGTGGCATTCCTGTTTAACTGGATCGGTTTCCTGCTCCTGATGTGTTTCTGTCACACGGTGGCGAGTCGCTACGGTGCTCTGGCCGGCTTTGGGCTCTCTCTCGCTAAATGGACACTTATAGTGAAACACTCAACCGAGCTCGCGTCCCACGAGAACTCCTGGCTCTGGTGGCTTATAATGGCGTTTGGTAAGTTGCTGTTTTATTACTATATCTAACCTATACAGTCAATCAAGTTGTTTAGTTTTACAATCGGCCTGTTACCGTCCTCGGCTGAACATAAGCCTCTACAATAGCAGGCCTCTAAGCTCGATCGAGCGCAATATATTTCGCATTTGATATAGATATAGATAATCTATAGATACTACTACTTAAGATTTAGCTTCGTTAAAACGCATACAATTTAATATAAGATTATTTTTTTTATTATTGAGAAATAGTTTCTCTATTTTACCAGTAAAGTATTTGATTAAATAAACTATAAGTAGGTACAGTGATGCGATCTACCATTGTGCACGCTTATCTAATTTATTTCTATTAGTATAAATTGTTCCGTGAATCACAGCGACTTTTCTAGAATTATATGACGCTTATGAGTAGGGTTGCCACCCGTACTTTATAATAAAGTATTGTACGTTATTTAAGGTAATTATACTCTATACTTTATAAGAATTTTAAAGTACACGAAAATACTTTATTTTTGCAAACTTAATTTCTATTAAAGTCGTAAGTATTTTTCGGTAAACTTATTGATTCGATATCGATAGTTATCGATTTATTTTGAATCGATTTCGCCACTCGCCACTCGCCAGCGCCACTTAGACAATTTCTAGTAAAGATGCAATTGTTTAGTAAAGGTACTAATTTAATACAAACTGCAAAAAGTAATAAAAATATATTTTTAAATATAATACTAAATAAGAATAAATTGTACTTTATTTTTGTACTGTGTACTTTTTTTCTTACCTATAATCATCAGTGTACTTTAAATACCAAAAAAAAGGTGGCAACCCTACTTATGAGTGTTTACTAGAGGTAATTGAGACAGACCGGTTATAAGAGCTAAATATGAACCAATATTTGAAAACAACTGACATAAAAACAGGTAAAACTAAAACTAACCTACCATAACCGCTTCTCGTAAGTGGTTTTTAGGCTTAATTATAATATTGTACAATTACAAATACAAACAAAACAAAGGTATTTAATAAAAGGTAACTTTTATTTAGATTTAGAAATACTCAATTTTGTCACGCAGTTTTGCATTGTGCCTTTTAATAAGATAAAAATTGATAAAAATAATAAGAAAAGAATTGGGTTAAAAATAAGATAAAGGCAGTCCTAAAGTACACTACCCTATCTCCATAGAGCTTTTGTCCTAAAGTTTATGGACTAACAGGAATGACATTATGTTATTGTAATAATCCTCTAGAAATCTGTTTCTGGAACATATTTCTTTCAACCGAGACGGCTATGAATGGTGTGATAGTAACAATATGTGTGAACGTCCGTTACTCCAATCAGTAGAACCATTTAGCCAATCATTTCTAACTGAGAGGCGACCTACGCTTCTTCGTGATATAGGTCAATAGTACTAATCGTACGTACGACATTGAGTTTAGAGATTGTAACTCGAAAACGGCTGGGCCAATTTTTATAATGTTTCGTGAGTAAGTTGAATAAGTAATTCCTTTTTTGTGTTAAATTTTAATTGAGTGTAACGTTGTAATCGTACGTTTTCTCTATTTTTTGTTGATGAAAGATAAGTGTGAATACTAAATTAATTATTATGTTTACCGGCTTCGTCACATAACTGACGACGATTTATTTCAAGCCAAGCTAGGGGCTCATATTTATGAGCAGCATTGCTACTTTACTTAAAAATCGCGGGTTACTCATATGAAAACACTGAGAAAAGCTCTACTAGTTTCGAGCCACAGAGGGGATCTTCCTCGTGAGCAGCTTATGAGTAACCCGCGAGTTTTAGTTAATTTAGCGATAGATTATACGACGATAGTTATTATAAAAACATAAGCATTGATACAAATCTAGTTCCTCGTCAAACACTTACGTAAATAACTTCGTTAAAATAATGTGCACTTGTATGAATGTTTAGAATATTTTCAGTTCGTAACCAATAGAAACTATGGGGCAGTTATAAAATCGATAGGAACATCAATTTAATAACACATCAGATATAGGTATGTTCATTAATATTTCATGGGGACTGTGTGCGAACCACGGTGCGGTCACCTTGACCCCGTGCCATATGACGTTTGTTCATGTAACAGTCACGACTACATACGCAATATTGCGCTTCTATGTTAGTTTGTTTGTAGACGTCGTTGATATTGACATATACACAAAGGCTCCCTAGGCAAGCATCTCTTTGATAAGTGTTTTGTTGGTAACTGAAATAAGCTTTTTTGTTTTTTATATCCTAAAGATTAGGTTACATATTCATTAATGTTGTTATTAATTCGGATTGTTTTCATGCTTAGATACAGACAAGATAAATAAATAAGGTTTCTTTCGTCGTAGTGAAATGAAAAGTGCGACTACTCAGTATTACTATGCGCCTGACCTTTCTCCAATCGCTTCGAATTACCATTCTATTGGAATTAAATAATGGAGAAGGGAACCTTATAGTACAAATTCCGCGCAGTTCTCTGTCTATTGATGAATTACTTAAAACTCGTTTTACGAACTTTATTATGCAAACTATTAATACTCTAGTCACATATTATGCGCAATCTTGTCACCTATTGCAAATATTTGCCTATTCCAACCTACTTCAATCTCAAGTTAAACAAATGTCAACTCTACACTTGTATAAATAGAGTTGACTTGAGAATGGAGCATACTGCATACTAGTATTATTAAGAAGGTCAGGAATTAAAATTAAAGGTTTAGTTTAAATTCAACTTTATATCTGAGCATTAGAATTGTTTTTAAATGTTACGGATCGGATGTATAAAAAACTTTGCTTTAAGTTCTTATTTTTACACTTTGTGAAGTAAGCAGGACCGTCTTAGGACTTCACTGGGGGCCTTAGGCAAACATTAATTCGGGACCTTTTGGAACGGTTTTTGTTGTTTTTGGTCCTACACTATTGTGATTGCATTTACAAACATACTACTTTACATACACAAGACACCGAGACCCGGAACAACAATCTCTGGATCACACAGAGTTGCTCCGTGCGGGATCGAATGCTACACGTTGCAGGGCAGCCAGTTACCGTGCAACGTGTAGCGGTTGTGTGTCCGTCGTAGAAGGCCCAGGTCCCCCTAAGGATGGGGGCCCTGAGCACGGGCCCCGAGTGCCCTCCCCTTATGGTAAAGACGGCACTGGAAGTAAGGGTGTGGAGTCATCAATCATCATCAACAGCCGGAAGACGTCCACTGCTGGACAAAGGCCTCCCCCTTAGCCCTCCACGTCGAACGACAACTCGCCACCCGCATCCACTGGCTCCCCGCAACTCTGGCGATGTCGTCGGTCCACCTAGCGGGAGGTCTGCCCACGCTTCGTCTTCCGGTCCGTGGTCTCCACTCAAGGACTTTCCTGGCCCATCTGCCGTCAGTCCTTCGAGCGACGTGGCCTGCCCATTGCCACTTCAGTCTGCAGATTTTGCGAGCTATGTCGGTAACTCTTGTTCTTTGGCGAATCTCCATATTTCGGACTTTGTCGCGCAAAGAAACCCCGAGCATAGCTCTCTCCATCGCACGCTGAGCGACTTTGAGCTTCTCCAGAAGGCCAGAGGTCAGGGACCACGTCTCGGTACCATACGTCATCACCGGCAACACACACTGGTTGAACATCCTGGTCTTTAGGCACTGAGGGATTTTCGATGAGAAGATTTCGCGTAACTTCCCGAACGCTGCCCATCCAAGTTGGATTCTTCGGGCGACCTCTTTGTCGAAATTGGACCTACCTAGCTGTATAATCTGCCCTAAGTATGTGTAGTGGTCTACAACTTCGAGGATATCGTTCCCAACGATGACCGGTACAGGTGCAACATGGACGTTTGACATGATTTTGGTCTTGTCCATGTTCATTTTAAGACCCACCTGTTGGGAGACGATATCGAGGTCGCTGAGCATGGTGTTTAAATCCTCCAGCGACTCCGCCATGATGACTATATCATCGGCGAAGCGGAGGTGTGTGATGTATTCGCCATTGATATTGATGCCCAGTCCACTCCAGTTTAAAAGCTTGAAAACGTCCTCCAATGCGTTGGTGAACAGTTTCGGAGAAATCACGTCTCCCTGTCTCACGCCTTTCTGCAATTGGATTGGTTCCGTGCTATCTTCCTGGAGTCGGATGCGCATGGTGGCGTTTCTATACAAACACTTTAGCACCTCGATATATCTGTAGTCGATATGGCATCGCTGGAGAGACTGCAGCACCGCCCAGGTCTCGATCGAATCAAAGGCTTTTTCATAGTCCACAAACGCCAAGCATAGTGGCAAGTTATACTCCTCAGTCTTCTGTATAACTTGCCGCAGCGTATGAATGTGGTCTATGGTGCTAAAGCCTTTCCGGAACCCGGCTTGTTCGGGAGGCTGGAAGTCATCAAACCTGCGTTCCAGACGGTTCGTGATAACCCTAGAAAACAGCTTATATACATGGCTCAGAAGCGAGATGGGTCTATAGTTCTTCAACAAAGAGTTGTCACCCTTCCTGAAGAACAGAACCACTACACTCCTTTGCCATGCTTTCGGCGTAGTTCCTTCGAGAATGACGGAATTGAATAGTTTCTGGAGGACTAAAAGTATCGGTTTTCCACCCGCTCGCAGAAGTTCTGTTGTGATTCCGTCATCACCCGGTGCCTTGTTATTTTTGAGCTGTCTGAGAGCCATCCTAATCTCATACAGGCTGATGTCTGGGATATCCTCGGTATAATGCCGTGTCAGTTTAGCTCTAGGATCCCGAGCTGTACCGACAATGGGTTGCCGTGTCGAGGTGTATAACTGTCCGTAGAACCTTTCAAGCTCTCTCAGAATCTCTGGCTTCGACGAAACGATGCTGCCATTTTCGGTCTTCAGTTTCGTCATTTGGCTTTGCCCAACAGACGAATTCCTTGCGAATACTTTTGCGCCCTGATTTCGCTCTATGGCATCCCTGACTCGTGCGGCGTTATATGCACGCAGGTCGCGTCGCATAGACTTTGAAATTCGCCTATTAAGTTTGCCATATCCAGACATGTCAACTGAAGACTGCAGCCTCATCTCGTGTCGGTCTTTCAATAATTTAAGTGTTTCTTTCGAGAGCTTTTGAGGTCTATTTCGGCGTGGGTTTTTGAAAAACTCTGAGCCCACCGTTTGGACAGTTTCCACTAACCCATTATTTAACTCGTCAATCGTTTCACACTCAGCCAGGCACTGGAAGCGATTATGCAGTTGGAGCTGGAACTGTTCGGGGTTCTGGACCAGGGTGTGGAGTGCCAATAGCCAATTTAGGAAAACCTCATTTTAAGAGGAAGGACTTTATTCAGTATTAGACGTATCACCTGATAATGTTGATGAATAATAAGGCAAAACAAAGGGCAGTTAACAAAGCAACTAGAATTTTCAATTCAAAAGAATGGAAGTATTTATTTGCAAAATGACGTTGATTGCCAGTTGATTGTCAATTAATACGACGTTCACAATGGTTGTTTGCGTTCATGGTTAGCTGTACAATATTGAGATAAAGGTTCAATGCACCGCACATGTTCTCATATCTCGTTATCGAAAAAGGATGTATGTACTGAAATTCTAAGTAGTACCACGAAGTCTGGAACTGAGCCTAAGTGTGGGAGAGCCATGCTTCGGCACGAATGGGCCGGCTCGACCGGAATGATACCACGGCCTCACAGACAACCGACGTTTCGTCGTGTGAGTGAGGTTACCGGAGGCCCAATTACCTTCCCCTTCCCCAATCTCCCCAATCCCTGAATCCCCAACGATCCTCAAACTCCTAATCCCCAAAAAGCCGGTGACGCACTTGTAATGCCTCTGGTGTTCCAGGTGTCCATGGGCGACGCCGATTGCTTACCATCAGGTGATCCGTCTGCCCGTTTACCGGCTTATGCCATAAAAAAAGTGTATGGCCCCAATTACATGGAATTCGCAAAATATTTGGTGAAAAGTTGAACATTTGACAACAAAAACAATAAAAGTAACCGCACCAACTACGTAACTAATTGCGAAAGAAAAAGTATAGTTCTTTTACTAGATAGAAAATATCGAATGACGTTTATATTAACACCTGTATGTGAAGCCAGTACTTGTCTGACACAATGCCGAATAAATATTTTTTTATTAACATAAACTCAACAATTGATGTTCAAATTATTCATAGCGTACGTTCTGTGTACAATAAAACGTCTCATTCTAGCTATTTATAATCGAATTTGAATTTTGAAGTCGTCTTAATAGAATTTATTTTCATCTGATTATAATGATTAGATTGGTCATTGTGTCCGTTCTCTGACGTCAATGTTGTTTCGTGGTAATGGCACAGATTAAATTGTACAAGGATTGCCGTCATCAGAAATTACATAATACTGCTAAACACGTTTCTTAACTACATATTATTGAACTAAGCTAAATGAACAAAAAAAAATTTTGAATAAATTTAAATTTCATCTAAATTTGTGCAGAGAAAAGATCTGACCTTGTATATTTGAGAATGATATCTTGTTTGTTTTCTGCGAATGGTAAAGACACTGACTGCTATACGGGAATGCAATTGCGGACACACGTGCCCACCAATATCAAAGCGACATTGGGGCAGTATCGTGAACGATTGCGAGTGTGTATGTGCAGTGGGGCGATATGTATTTTGTTTGGGTTTAAATTGTGGGAAATGTATATTATTAATAATTATGTACATTCATTTCCAGGTATCTTAATCTGCGTTCGTGCTATCATCCAGTACCTGAACATCAAGCGCGGCTGGCGTCTACTCTCTGGCACGGCTCAAGAGCGACTGCTCTTCTTCTACTAAACCGCACGCTTTTGTTTCACTCACACTCGCATGTAAGCTGGTAGTGCGACAAGGATGGATATATGTTTCTCGTTTAGATTGTAATGTCGTTATAGTAAAGCGTAAAGACGTAAGATGTATCCTTCACTGCAAGTTGTCTTGCCCTTTACGTTGAAGCTATTGGTATGAATCTATGATAAAAAAGTAAAATGATTGTTTAGAACATGCTTAGTGAATGTTTAAGGAATATCAGTAATGCATAAGGACGTCTATTAACTTCTAAATCCGTGTTATCACACCATTGATCGATACTCAGAGACTGTAATGACATACTAGAGCCATCTAGTGTTTGAGAGATGGAACGGTTTTTCAAAGCAGCACCATCTCTATGTCGCAACAGACAACATGGTTTTAGTATGTCTAATACAATCTCTGTCCGGATTGTTACTATCATCACAGAGTTGTGTTTCAAAGACATGATAAGCCAATATTTTACTATGTGTAGATATAATTTTAATTTATTATTATAAGTAGCTCAGCTTTAGTCTTATATTTGAGCAGATATTTTTTATATAATTATGCAAGTTTGAACGGGCCGATTGTGAATGGATAGGGATGTCTCACCGATGTGAAGTGTATTGGTAAATAATATTCGGGTACTTATTTTGTATAGCACTACTAATGGTTAAAATATTACATTTAATTGGATTTATTAAGTTAATAAACTCGAATTATAATTTTTCGATCGTGTGAAATCATTCCGTGGGTGTAAAGTGCACTAGTTAAGTGTAGAGTTGTTATTGTTATATTTCTAAGCTAAAGCACGCCGTCGTTGTTCGAAGTCATTACAACAATGTTCACATTTACTTAAGGATGCGTCCGTTTGTCCGCTTTTAGCAATCATAAGATGTTTCTACATACAGAGTGACTTGCAACTCGACGTACTCCTCTCGGGAGGTGATAATGCATCTAATTTCCTACAAAATTAGCCCTGAGGTCTCTGGTCCGAAAGTGGCTAGTTTCTGAAATATTCAACATTTTCGGTTTTGGCGAGAGGAATACGTCGAGTTACAAATCACCCTGTATACTACATACTTTATACTAATGTATAAAGCTGAAGAGTTTGTTTATTTGTTTGAACGGTCTAATCTCTGGAACTACTGCCCCGGTTTGAATGTTTTTTTCTCTATCGGATAATCCATTTATCAAGTAAAGCTTATAAAACATCACGGTACGATTGATAGGAACCCAGCAGCGGGTGAAACCGCGAAGGAGTGCCTAGTAGTACTATAATCAAATAAAAAGTACTATATCGGTGCATTCAAGCGGTTGAATATTTTGTTTTATTTGAGTTTTGGTGATCACCAATTTTAATATAATTTATATTGTTTTTTTTTTGTTTGAAAATAGGTATGTCTATTTGCTTACACAGTCCCCGTTATGGAGTTACCTTCTATATTATTTTCCATACTGTTTTTCAAAATTAAATGCGAAATTTATTCGATTGATATGATACATACATACATACATAACTTCACGCCACGCCACTGTCTCCCATGGGGGTAGGCAGAGACTAAGGAACGCCAATTACTACGATTCTTACATACCTCTTTCGATTGATATGATACGAAGGTGCTTATGCTAACAGCCTTTGTATAAGATCTGATTTTATATTTTGTCAATGAAAATTAAAACTGCTGTGGTGTTAGCTTTATTGCTATATTTGATCACCGACGGAGTGTTGGTAAAATAAAATTTATCATAAATTAATTAATTAATCATTAAGGATCAAACTAGTGGCGAGGTCTGTTAGATCCCTGATCTCTGTAATTTTTTATTTAATTCAGTTAAATATGAATTATAATTCATGTTACATATTATATTTTCATCCATTGACTTCGTGGTGTAACTTAATTGTATTTTTATCGACATAATGACGTCACTATGAAACAAGTTCATTCATATTATACGATACTAAGAGAAATATAATATATTATTTATTTATAATTTTATTTAGTGAACGTGATGGACCATGGGTCTAACGAACCTCGCCGTGGTAATATGTGTATAGAGCTAAAATGGTGACTTAGAGCCGCGTTAACAGCTAGTCTGTATGTCATTTTGAATATAAGCAACTACTTTATTAATTTAACGCCTGAAAGTTTCACTGTAAAACTGAAAGTTATTGTTTTAGGTTAAAATTGTGCTTTCTTTTTATATACAAAGCACAATTTTTTCATGGTACATGATAAAATAATTAACGTGAAATAGAAATGAGGATGCTCAAAAAAACAGACGATTATAATCATTTATGTACCAAACTAGACCATATGTTAAAGGTGGTAAATACGCTTTTGTTCTGGCCAAAACCATAACCGATCGGGCCAGCAACCAGTTTATGTTTCTAATTTTTTAAACAAATCTTTATTCGATTTATCTGACAAAGTAATTTTGTTCTCAAACAATCCCTTTTCGTTTACAAATGTAACTTTCTTTCACTTCAAATTAATGAAGTAGTTACCTTATAAATAACAATGTGCTTTTACCGATCCCTTTTAAAATAGTCATATTTAAATTATTCATTATGTACCTGATAATAGGGTTCAAATTGCAACTATTTGCAGAAAAAAATTGTATACGTTAGTTTCTAAATTCCTTTGATAATATTTTTTACTGAATTACAACAAAAGTGAATGGATTTTAATTAGACTTATTAAACAAGAGGCTTATAAAATTGAACATAAAGTTACCTAAAATTATTTTGTAGTCTCAATTTCGTAATAATTTAGATATTTTCCAGACGCCAAAAACGACACTAGCGCCTCCAAAAATGAACCTTTTCATTGAAAGATCACGTCAAGTATTAAAGATTTTAGGTTTCGAAACGATTATCTTATCCGTTTCAAACTTACATTTGTCTCTTTTTGTCAAACCAATGAAAGAAAGAGATAGAGTAACTGGACATTGGTCTAAATGAAAACCTAAAATACTCATGAAACAGATATTATTATTTTTTAAATTGAAATTAGTGGTTTTGTTCCTTAAATAAATTATTTTTCTTATATTTGGAGAGGATTCCAACAATACTTATTTCAGCGACATAATGAAATGTAACATATATTCAACAGGGGTCGGTAACTAGTACATAAACCATGTTTTTGTAAAATCTTGAATACATAACGACTGCTTTAAGATAGAATGAACCTTAATATGTTATCAAGAGTAATATGTTAAGTTGGGTGCACACTGTGTCAAACAATAATTACAAGTTACGTACTTATCCAAAATAATTTCACCCTGTATTTTTTAGTGACGGTCAACAATGATAGATCTATTACTAATGCACGCTACACAGTACGCACCTTACGATTTAACTGTACATTCGAACTATACAATTAAAATTGTACACTTCGACTGTACAGATAAATAAAATACTATTTAACTACAATACAGTCGAATTGTATAGTTAAATCGTAGGTCCATACAGTCTACACACCTTCAAGGAAAATACAACACTATATGTGGCTGATGTCGATACGGAGCCGCGGAGAACGTAAAAGGTTACCGGGGCGCCGGCTCGAAGTGCAGGAATAGGAACAGGGTAGTTTATAGTCTTTTTAAAGATGGAAGTCGGATAAAAATTAAGTTATGGGATATTGGTACTAGGGCGGCTGAAATTCTTTTAATCTTAAATCTTTGTATAAAGTTTTTATTATACTCATAAACCTAGTTCGATCCATAGATTTTGGATTAAGATCAGTTTATTTCAGTCGTAAGTGAACAATGTGTGCACCCACCTTAAACGAATCGGTTTAAAAAATCACACCATTTATAAACTAAGGCCGCGACTTTTTCTATTTCGCACCAAAAATTTTATGTCAATAAAAGTTTTGTGATTATGTGATTAGATAACTTTATTTTTAATATAATGTTTTAGTGCAATAATGTCTAGTTCAGAGTTTCTAGTGGAAATAAATATGTTATAATTATGTTTTTATTTTATTTTATTACTCCTCCCAAGTTTGGGTACCTACTTGAATATTACGCTATCATGTTAAATACATAACATACATACATACATATATAACATAACGCCTTTTATCCCCGAAGGGGTATGCAGAGGTGCACATTACGGCATTTAATGCCACTGCACAATGTAACACCCACTATTCACTATTTATGTTATGAGTCCCATGTAATAGGGGGTGAGCCTATTGCCATATACCGTGCACAATTTCAGACTCCGTGCTACCACTGAGATTTTTTTTAAAACCCAGTACAAATTTGCCCGACCCGGGAATCGAACCTGAGACTCTTGCCGGCAGTCGCACTTGCAACCAATCGGCCAACGTGGCAGCATGTTAAATACGTTGAAGAAAAATGATTGCTATTTTTTAAAAGGTCTCTCCCTCAAACTTTTACTTCACGATTGGCGTGGTGGCTGAGCGCCGCCTGCAGCGCAACATGTAGCGGGTTTGATTCCCGCACGGATCAACTACTTGTATGAATGATACGCAAATGGTTATTTCTGGTCTAGGCGCCATGTGTGTGTGAGAAAAGGCCTAATGGTGTGAGCCAACGTTTAAAAAAATCGTGAAGTCTATATAAATACATTTCTGAACCTTTAAAAAATTTAAGTTACTTACCTTTATTTTTATAAAACTATTAGCTTCTGCCCGCGACTTCTTACGCGCAATCCCGCTTTCTCCCATTCCCGTAGGATAATCAGGATTTTATTTAAGTCATAAGAACCGTCTCAAAATGACAAATACTACAAAAAAAAGAATTCGTGAAATCTGTCCAGCCATTCACGCATGATGCCGTGTCCAGGGGAAAAGGGATTATTTTTATGTACGGTCAAAGGTCAAAAGTCTACTGTCACCGTGAGACTACTATCGGTTGCGCTGCAGGGCTTATACACACGTGCACACGCATATTTTTATCCGTGCGTGCATGTGTTTATGCGTACGCACGCGTTTTATGCACATTAATATGAAATTACTTACGCATTGCCGTGTGAA